ATTGCCTGCAAATCATGGAATTCAGGCGCATGTAGCAGTCCACGCGATTTTGTAGATTTCGCCATAGATGCGATCGAAACGGGTGCGGCGGCGCGCACCGCAGAATACAGTGCTCAGAATTCGCGCTGAAACGAGGCCTCAAGCTGTAGGCGACAGGCGAAAAGCGATTAGAAGAGACGATGTAGCTGATCACAATATTTTTTCCTGTTTAGTCGTTCAAAACAATTTTAATCGTTTTGACGTGTCTTTAATTACCGCATTAATGTAGACAATTGGACATTACAATTATGCAGTCATCCGGAGCGTCAAAAAGTTGACTTTTGTTCTAAGTGGTTTACATCAGAGGTTTCGGCCTGGGTTAGGCAAAATGTCCCTCTGCGCTCAAACGCAAACGAGGTATCATTGGGCCTACTGCAATACCACCATTAGAAAGTTTACAGGTCAGCCGTTGTGTCGTGATTCCTAATTTATCCGTCCCCTTTGGGCACAGCGTAAATGATGGGGTTAATATCCGAGGCTATTTCACTAGTTATTAAAGCCGGACATGCTGCGTTAATGGGTAAATTGGATATTAGAAGCGCTTATCGCATAAGTTCAGTGCATCCGTCAGCCCGTAATTTATTAGGAATGTTTTGACAAAGTGGTTGTTCTATGTTGATCTCGCATTACCGTTTGGCTTGCGCTCAGCACCAGGATGAATGTTTTGACAAAGTGGTTTCTATGTTGATCTCGCATTACCGTTTGGCTTGCGCTCAGCACCAGGATTTTTCAATAGTCCTTCACTAGTGCTTGGTGAATAATTAGCACGTTCTCAAGTTACTACATTACCTAGACGACCATTTCACATTAAAACCTCCTAACTTTTGGCCCTATGTGCTCCGCATCTCAAAGCGATTGACCAGGCAGCGACCGAAATTGGCATACACTTATCGCTTGACAAATGCGTGGGCCCATTTTTCTTGGCATTGAGTTAAACCGGTTTGGCTCCCTTTGCTCTTTTCTGAATGGCGGCATAGCTTAGCAACTGGGTCTGGTCCCTTTGATAATTTCTACATTGCGACATAGCTTAGCAACTGGGTTTAGTCACTTTGCTAATTCCTAAATGGCGAGATAGCTTAGCAATTGGGTTTGGTCCCTTTGCTAATTTCTAAATGGCGATAAAGCTTAGCAATTGGGTTTGGTCCCTTGGCTAATTTCTAAATGGCGGCATCACTTAGCAATTGGGTTTGATCCCTTTGCTAATTTCTAAATGGCGACACTGCTTAGCAACTGGGCTTAGTCATTTTGCTAATTTCTAAATGGCGAGATAGCTTAGCAATTGGGTTTGGTCCCTTTGCTAATTTGTAAATGGCGATAAAGCTTAGCAATTGGGTTTGGTCCCTTTGCTAATTTCTAAATGGCGACACTGCTTAGCAACTGGGCTTAGTCACTTTGCTAATTTCTAAATGGCGAGATAGCTTAGCAACTGGGTTTAGTCACTTTGCTAATTTCTAAATGGCGGCATCGCTTAGCAACCGGGTTTGCTCCCTTTGCTAATTTAATCTAAAGGGCGACACTGCTTAGCAACTGGGTTTAGTCACTTTGCTAATTTCTAAATGGCGAGATAGCTTAGCAACTGGGTTTAGTCACTTGCTAATTTCTAAACTGCGGCATCGCTTAGCAACCGGGTTTGCTCCCTTTGCTCATTTCTGAATGGCAGCATAGCTTAGCAACTGGGTCTGGTCCCTTTGTTAATTTCTACATTGCGACATAGCTTAGCAACTGGGTTTAGTCCCTTTGCTAATTTCTAAATGGCGACATAGCTTAGCAACTGGGTTTGGTCCTTTTGCTAATTTCTGAATGGCGACATAGCTTAGCGGGTTTGGTTCCCTTGCTAATTTCTAAAGGGCGACATAGTTTAGCAACTGGGTCTGGTCCCTTTGCTAATTTCTAAAGGGCAACATTGCTTAGCAACTGGGTTTAGTCCCTTTGCTAATTTCTAAATGGCGATATAGCTTAGCAACCGGGATTGATCCCTTTGTTAATTTCTACATTGCGACATAGCTTAGCAACTGGGTTTAGTCCCTTTGCTAATTTCTAAATGGCGACATAGCTTAGCAACTGGGTTTGGTCCTTTTGCTAATTTCTGAATGGCGACATAGCTTAGCGGGTTTGGTTCCCTTGCTAATTTCTAAAGGGCGACATAGTTTAGCAAATGGGTCTGTTCCCTTTGCTGATTTCTAAAGGGAGACATTGCTTAGCAACTGGGTTTAGTCCCTTTGCTAATTTCTAAATGGCGATATAGCTTAGCAACCGGGCTTGATCCCTTTGCTAATTTCTAAATTGCGACATAGCTTAGCAACTGGGTTTACTCACTTTGCTAATTTCAAAATGGCGGCATAGCTTAGCAATTGGGTTTGGTCCCTTTGCTAATTTCTAAATGCAGCATAGCTTAGCAATTGGGTTTGGTCCCTTTGCTAATTTCTAATTGACGATGCTGCTTAGCAACTGGGTTTAGTCACTTTGCTAATTTCTAAATGGCGGCATAGCTTAGCAATTGGTCTGGTCCCTTTGCTAATTTCCAAAATGCGGCGCTGCTTAGCAACTGGGTTTAATCACTTTGCTAATTTCTTAATGGTGGCATAGCTTAGCAACTGGGTTTGGTCCTTTTGCTAATTTCTGAATGGCGACATAGCTTAGCGGGTTTGGTCCCCTTGCTAATTTCTAAAGGGCGACATAGTTTAGCAAATGGGTCTGGTCCCTTTGCTAATTTCCAAAATGCGACGCTGCTTAGCAACTGGATTTAATCACTTTGCTAATTTCTTAATGGTGGCATAGCTTAGCAACCGGGTTTGCTCCCTTTGCTAATCTCCGAATGGCGGCATAGCTTAGCAACTGGGTTTGGTCCCTTTGCTAATGTCTGAATGGCGACATTGCTTAGCAACTGGGTTTGGTCCTTTTGCTAATGTCTGAATGGCGACATAGCTTAGCAACTGCGTTTGGTCCCCTTGCTAATTTCTAAATGGCGACATAGTTTAGCAACTGATTTTGGTCCATTTGCTAATTTCTGAAGGGCGACATTGCTTAGCAACTGGGTTTAGTCCTTTTGCTAATTTCTAAATGGCGATATAGCTTACTGCAACTGGTTCTGGCCCCTTTGCTAATTTCGGAATGGCGACATTGCTTAGCAACTGGGTCTGATCTCTTTGCTAATTTCTGAATGATGACATAGCTTAGCAACTGGGTTTGGTCCCTTTGCTAATTTCTGAATGGCGAGATTGCTTAACAACTGGGTCTGGTCCCTTTGCTAATTTCTGAATGATGACATAGCTTAGCAACTGGGTTTGGTCCCTTTGCTAATTTCTGAATGGCGAGATTGCTTAACAACTGGGTCTGGTCCCTTTGCTAATTTCTGAATGATGACATTGCTTAGCAACTGGGTTTGGTCCCTTTGCTAATTTCTGAGTGGCGAGATTGCGTAACAACTGGGTCTGGTCCCTTTGCTAATTTTTAAAGAACGACATAGCTTAGCAACTGGGTCTGGTCCCTTTACTAATTTCTGAATGGCGACATTGCTTAGCAACTGGGTCTGGTCCCTTTGCTAATTTCTAAATGGCGACATTGCTATAGCAACTGGGTCTGATCTCTTTGCTAATTTCTAAATGGCGACATTGCTTAGCAACTGGGTCTGATCTCTTTGCTAATTTCTAAATGGCGACATTGCTTAGCGACTGGGTCTGATCTCTTTGCTAATTTCTAAATGGCGATATTGCTTAGCAACTGGGTTTGGTACCTTTGCTAATCTCTGAATGGCGAGATTGCTTAACAACTGGGTCTGGTCCCTTTGCTAATTTTTAAAGAGCGACACAGCTTAGCGACGGGGTCTGGTCCCTTTACTAATTTTTAAAGGACGACATAGCTTAGCAACTGGGTCTGGTCCCTTTGCTAATTTTTAAATGGCGACATAGCTTAGCAAATGGGTTTGGTCCCTTTGCTAATCTCTGAATGGCGAGATTGCTTAGCAACTGGGTCTGGTCCCTTTGCTAATTTCTATAGGGCGACATAGCTTAGCAGATGGGTCTGGTCCCTTTGCTAATTTCTGAATGGCGACATTGCTTAGCAACTGGGTTTGGTCTCTTTGCTAATCTCGGAATGGCGATATTGCTTAGCAACTGGGTATGGTCCCTTTGCTAATTTTTAAAGAGCGACACAGCTTAGCAACTGGGTGTGGTCCCTTTGCTCATTTCTAAAGGACGACATAGCTTAGCAACTGGGTCTGGTCCCTTTGCTAATTTCTAAAGGGCGACATAGCTTAGCAAATGAGTTTGGTCCCTTTGCTAATGTCTAAATTTGCTAATTTCTAAATGGCGACATAGCTTAGCAACTGTGTTTAGCCTCTTTTGCTATTTCTAAATGGCGACAGAGCTTAGCAACTGGGTGTGGTCCCTTTGCTAACTTTAAAATGGCGACATAGCGTAGCAACTGGGTGTGGTCCCTTTGCTAATTTTAAAAAGGCGATATAGCTTAGCAATTGGGTCTGGTCCCTTTGCTAAGTTCTAAATGGCGACATAGCTTAGCAACCGGGCGTGGTACCTTGGCTAATTTCTAAATGGGGACATAGCTTAGCAACTGGGTCTGGTCCCTTTGCTAATTTCTCAATGGCGACATAGCTTAGCAATTGCATCTGGTTCTTTTGGGCGAATTTTAAAATGGCGGCATAGCTTAGCAACTGGGTGGGGTCCCTTTGCTAATTTCCAAAGGGCGACATAGCTTATCAACTGGATTTCATCCCTTTGCTAATAATGTCTAAATGGCGACATCGCTTAGCAACAGGGTTTGGTCCCTCTGCTACATTCTCAATGGCGACATAGCTTAGCACCAGGGTTTAGCCTCTGTCGGCTAATTTTCTAAATGGCGACATAGCTTAGCAATTGGGTATGGCGCTTTGCTGTTTAATATGTATGGCGACTTAGCTTAGCTACTCGTTCTGGGTACAGCTAACTGCTACGGATGCAGCTAGAGTCACTGGCAACAGTGGCTAAGGTCAAAATAGCGCGGTATGGTGTAATAACCTGGCCTCGCCCTGTGTTTATTTTGGAAGAGCAGCAGAACTAGCCACTAAATGTGCATGGCGGCGGTGCTAATGTCAACTTATGGAGGAACATCTATGGAGGCATAGTTTGTACCCGGGTGGATGTAGTTGGGATTCGGTCTGGGGGCCTGGGATTTTTGGTTACTTGGAGTGGTGAAATTTCGGAGAAATGTCACTTTGGTGGTCAGGTCCTGAATGGACAGGTCCACGTGATTCGGACCTGAATCCAAGTAACTCAAATCCGGAGATCATTAGCTGACCACGTCTGCACCTAACCATCCACACGGGTAAGTATGGTGACGACATATATTAAATGAGGTTACATGGTAACCAAGGTTAATATCATAGGAGCCGCGCGCAGTCTGGGTACGACATGTGCCCTCAGGATATCGGATATAGAGAGTGCCAAGCAGACTCTCAGGTCATTAGCTAGACGAGGTAAACAAACAAACAAAAAAAAAACAGCTATCGTTTATCAATACAAACGATTTTGAAATCTCTAGTTTACGAATACAGTCATGGCGACTGGCCGAATCAATGTAGCTCCAATGGCGCCATTTGATCCTATGTCCGATCCAAACTCTCTCAGTCAGCGCTGGAAAACGTGGAAACGACGATTTGAAACATATCTTGTTGCTCTGAATGTGACTGAAAAGAAACAAAAGCGGGCTCTCTTGCTGTACCAAGCTGGCCAAGAGATAATTTTGATACCCTTGTTGACATCGGCGAAGACGACGACTATGATTCCGCTATCGCTGCCCTCGATACGTATTTTTCACCTAAAAAACATGTCGATTTTGAAATTTTTAAGTTTCGTGAAGCCAAACAACAACCACATGAAACAATCGATCAGTTTTCAACTCGTCTTAGGAAGCTGGCGGCAACCTGTGACTTCGAAAATATCGACAAGGAAGTAAAATCGGCCATAATTCAAAACTGTTTATCGAAACGTCTACGACGCTACGCCCTGCTTGACTCGGAAGTTACACTAGCCAAGATTCTCGCAAAAGGCAGAGCTTTTGAACTCAGTGAATCGCAGGCAACCGGCATTGAAAACGCACTTGACTCAACACACATTTCTGACGAAGTAGTTGAAGCTGTCCATCCTACAACGAAACATAACAACTATCGTGATAAACAACATACATCGTTTCACCGCCAAGACTTTTACACCTCACCAGAGTGTCGGAATTGTGGGGGGCCCTGGCCCCATAACAACAATATTTGTCCCGCGAAAGGAAAATCTTGTCTGAATTGTGGAAAATCAAATCATTTTGCGAAAGTCTGTCGTAGTGCTCGCAAGGCTCGCGTCGGTCAACAAGAGAATCGAAGGCCTTCAAAAAAATACCACAAAAACAAAGTTCACAAGATTTATGGCAAACCCTCCAGCAGTGAAAGCAGTAGCGAGGATGAATTTATTTTTATTCTGAAACCGACAGGTAGAGACAAAACAACTCCACAGGTTCAAATCTCGGTCAACACCACCCCTATCAACATGGTTATCGACACTGGTGCTTCCATCGACATCATCGATGAACTTGCTTTCAACACCTTGCAAAAACAGAGACCCATAGCCCTTCAACGTTCCAAAACACGTATTTTTGCATATGGAGCTACAAACCAGCTACCTGTTATGGGACAATTTCGTGCAACCCTAGAATGTTTGACTGGTGCAACAACCACGCAAGTTCATGTTATCAAAGGAAATTTTGGTTGTTTGCTAAGCTATCAAACGGCATCTGCTTTGGGTCTAATCATGCTGAATGTTAACAATGTGAAACCGGAACATGCCACCCATGAACAACTGATGAAAGAGTATGCCCATCTGTTCAACGGAATTGGCACTCTTAAAAATTTTGAAGTTAAATTGCACATTGATGATACTGTCCCTCCAGTAGCACAAACCCCCCGTCGTATTCCTTTCCACATGCGGCAAAAGGTCTCAGATGCGCTCGACACGTTAGAAAGTGATGGAATTATTGAAAAAGAATCAGATGCCACTCCTTGGGTCAGTCCATTAGTTGTTATCCCAAAGAAAGATGGTGAGATCAGGCTATGCATTGATATGCGCATGGCTAATCAGGCAATTCAACGCGAAAGACATCCAACCCCAACTGTGGATGATTTAATTCACAAATTAAACGGCGCCACCATATTTACAAAGCTTGATCTTCGCTCGGGATACCACCAGTTATCTCTCGCTGAGGAAAGTCGACACATAACCACATTTGTAACGCACAAAGGACTCTACCGCTATAAGAAGTTGAATTTTGGCACCAATTCGGCAAGTGAAATCTTCCAACATGTAATTAGCGAACAAATCCGTGACATTCCGAATGCCATCAACATTAGTGATGACATAATTATCTTTGGCATAACACAAGCTGAGCATGACAAAGCTCTTCATGAAATTTTTGAGCGGTTTTCACTCATTGGATTAACCTTCAACAAAGACAAATGTGAGTTCAGTCAATCGCAGCTCACATTTTTTGGTTTTGTCCTCTCAGGTGATGGTATTTCACCGGATCCAGCGAAGTTTTCAGCAATTCACAACTGCCCACCTCCAAATTCAATTAAAGCTGTTCGGAGTTTCCTTGGGATGGTGACATATTGTGCGAAATTTATCCCTAATTTCAGTGATCTCACAGAGCCTTTGCGAGAATTAACGAGAAAAAATGTGCCCTTTTGCTGGACATCTAGGCATGCTAAATCCTTCAACGCAGTAAAAGCTGCCCTCACAAGTGCAACAGTTATGGCATATTTTGATCAAACCAAGGAAACAGAACTTATCACTGATGCATCACCTTTTGGTCTCTCAGCTATTCTGACACAGAAAGTCCCAGGATCAGACCAACAAAACGTTGTTGCATATATCAGTCGTTCGCTGTCGGATGTTGAGAGACGATACTGTCAAACAGAGCGAGAAGCTCTTGCAATTGTGTGGGCAATTGAACGTTTACATATCTATCTATACGGAGGACATTTTACTCTGATAACTGATTGCAAACCAGTCGAGTTGATTTTAAATAATCCACAATCAAGACCTCCAGCC